CAAATTGTTATTAGATCAACATTTTGATAGTCTTAGCAGCGTTTTTTATCTTTTGATTGCTTTTTCAAAATGCCAACTTCAACTATTTCAAATAATAAAGGCATTTTGAAAAAGCATTTAAAAGATAAGAAAACGCTGCTAAAACTATCAAAATGTTGATCTAATAACAATTTGACGGTTATACTATTAAGCGAAAAGCAACTTTTTTCCAAAGCCTACCATGACTTCACTGAATCATCGTTTCTTGTTCACTATTATTAATATCTTAATTATTAGATATTAATACATCTGATATTATGATATTCTGGTATATCGTCGATTTTAAAATCAACTAACTGTTTCTATATTATTTTTTTGTTAGAATGGGCCTAATCAAGAGGGCTACTGATATACTGTATTGTAAAAATAAGGTAATTAAAGGCTTATTTTTTGGTATTTATTATAATTTTGCTAATACCTTCGGTTTGAAAGAAGATATCAAGATGCGGTTTTCGCTGACTTTTTAAGCTTTTACTACTCTTTACTATCAGCTAAAATAACACATACTATCATATTTTTTTTTTTTAAACGCGCTATGTTTTTTCAAAGCTGTGTGTAGTGGTTCTACTAACAGGGCATTGTAAACTTAATAGGTATCTAAAGTTGATGGGATTGACGGACATGACGTAAATGTGCGATTCTGTGTACTAGAGAATAGAACCTAGAGATCGACCTCAAAAATATAATCTAAGACCAAAACGTTTAAAATAATCCTGGTTGAAAAATCAGAGTTGTGGTCATGCATTACTAACATCTACTGATACCTGAGCAATAAATTTATTATTTGTATTTCATTCGATTAGAAAAGCCATTTTTGTGTAAAGGCTGTCGATTCCTTTATTATAATTTTAGCTTTTTAATAAAGTCTACTTTATGGTCTGTATTCCATGAATGCTGACAAATTCTAAGTTTACAAAAATCCCTCTATTTTAATAAACTTTCTGTTTTTTAATTCAAACATTTAAAGGTCTAGATGTTTTTCCAATAAAAATGGGTATTTCACATTTGTTGTTAATTGTTCAGTGATTTTGTTGTGAGTTGGTTTGGTGAATAATACAAATCAATGGTAATTTGTATGTTAATATGCTTCTATTTTTACTTGTTTCTCTGGCTATGCTTTTTTTCCAAAAATTTTCTATTTTTTATTCAGTATTCGAATTATTAGCATTATTTAAAAATGCTGTATTATTTTTATTGGTATCGATGAATAATAATTTTTTGAAACTGTATTATACGAAATAAATTCATGTAAATTTAAAAACGAAAATAAAAAACAAACATTTTGATTTTTTTATGTTGGTTTTAATTTTAGTATCTAGCCAGTAGGTATATGTGATGATATATTAATATTCAAAGCCATATAACCGATTAATAATGAATATTAAATTGTTTAATGGCTTTTAGATGTTAGTTCTATCGTTTATTTATGTGGTAATTAAAATTTTGGCACACGCACTAAACCCACTTTGACACTGGTTATTAGAAGGAATATTTTATATAAAATAAGTACATTGTAAAATTTTAGAGGGGTTATGAAACTGAAAATTATTTATTACCTTTCACTTTAAATATTATTAAGTTTTAATTTATTATTATATAACAATAAATTTAAACTTAAAAAGACATCTATACAAGGTGAGTCTTAAATAAGTGCAAATATTTTCAAAGCTGCTATATCTCAATTAAAGAAACATATTTTCTCTTTGTTCTTTTTCAGATAAGTCCAAAATAACCCAGTTATTTTAGTTCTAAAAATTTCCAAAAAAATTGACGTTTTGCTTAAATTTTGAGAACCACTAGATCTTTTCTGGGCTTTCTTTCTTGTAAATTTAATCTCCTACAAACATATATTGCCAATATTTTCAAGGAATTATTCTTAATTAAAAACTAAAAAAAACCCAAATTAAAAAAAAAGTATATTTTGCGAAAAAAACTCGACGTGTTTCTGGGGTCGAAATATACTACCCTAAAAATATTTGCACTTATTTAGGACTCTGTATAAGGATTCATATTGTAATAAATACATATTACAAAAGAAATAAAAAATAAAAGAAAAAAATGAGAAAGAAAAAAAAATGCAAAAAAAAGAAAACAAAACGGCTGCTTTAAAATTTTTATTTAGTTTAAAAGTAATTTAGGCAGGCAATTTTCATGAATTTTTAAGCAATTTTTACGTGTTACGTTTAAGAATTAGGCCTCGCCGCGTGATTTTATCAAGTATTTTTCCTACCAGCGGGGGCTAAAGTTTCATTGGGGTCTGTGTGGCACCACCACGCCAAGAATGTTTCATTAATAGGATGGTGCGTAGTCTAAAGAGTGTGCCTCACTTGGACGCTAATTTTGAGGAAGCATTAATTGGGTGGTTTGATGAACTTAAAGAGGCTTAAGTGAGATGAAGACCATCGAGACATTGATTTTTCTCCGAAGAGTAACCATAACTCCGATTCTGAATCTCTTACTTATAGAAGAGAGAAAATTGAATAATCAATACCAGAAAAGAAAGAGATGTGGTATATGGCAACCATATGTCAATGAAGAAATGACAAAAAACAAAAATCTCATGATTCAAATGTGCACTGTATTTGAAAAAGTTATGTACAGGGTGGTCGAAATTGGTCTGTTTTAACAGAGAAAACCTATTTCCTGACTAGATAGAGCAAAACCGACATAGATGTCATGGGCTCGATGTCTGAGATACGATTAGTGGCGTAAACCGCCTGTTGATATTTTCACTGCCAACTGAGATACGGGGTATTTTTGATTTTTTTACCATTTGGAAAATTGCCCATAACTTTTGTATTTCGTGCAATAATAAAATTCTGTAAAAACGTTCTTAAGGCACTTTTTTAAGCACAATTCAGTGGCGTAGTCAGTTTTTTTCTATGCTTGCTCTTTTTGTCAGAAATAATGAAAAATATAATTTTTTAAATGGAAATCATACTTGGCTATGAACTTAAAAAAATGCTGGCGTTTAACCCTTTCCAACGATATAAAGTTATAGGTATCTATTTCTAACAATGAAAGAAATATTAGGTTTTTTTATCTTTACATCGAAGCGGGCCTTGATTTTGTGTTGGCCTGTTTGCCTAATTATTTTTATCACATTTGCATAATTAAAGACTTTTGAGAAGGTAAATTCCCATTCTATATTAGTATTAGTAATTATAATTGAAATCTATACAATAAACAAAGAAAAAACTAAAAAGTTTTTTTTGAGTGACGAATATAGTTTTCTAAAAGAAGTCATTGAAATCGTCAAGAGTTACAACGATTTATTAGGCGAACTGGTGCAATAAGTCCAAAAGCTTGCCTAGTAGCCTTCTCCAATTCCTCTCTCGTCCCAGTGGTTCTTCTCTTATAAGTAAGGTCTTTTAATTTCCCCCATAAAAAAAGCCGAAAGAAGTTAAATCACAAGATCTAGCAGACCAAGATATGGGCCCCTTGTTCCAATCCAATTTTCTCTAAATTCTCCATTTAATAGTTCAGTTGTAACCCTGGCGTTTTAATTGTAATTGGTAATACTAATATAGAATGTTGATTTACTCTTTGAAAAGTCTTTAATTATGCAGATAAATAATAATATAGAATATTAAATTGTGATAAAAAATAATTAGGCAACTTCATTATTAATTAATCAACATAAAATCAAGGCCCGCTTCGATACAAAGATAAAAAACCTAATATTTCTCTCATTCTTAGAAATAAATACATATAACTATATATTGTTGGAAAAGGTTAAACCCCAGCATATTTTGAAGTTCATAGCCAACTATGATTTCCATTTAAAAAATTATATTTTTTATTATTTCTGACAAAAAAAGCAAATATAGAAACAAAATGACTACGCCACTGGATTGTGCATAAAAAAAGTGCCTTAAGAACGTTTTTACAGAATTTTATTATTCCACAAAATACAAAAGTTATGGGCAATTTTCCAAATGGTAAAAAATTAATAAAGACCCCGTATCTCAGTTGGTAGTGAAAATATGAACAGGCGGTTTACGCCATTAAACGTGTCTCAGAAATTAAGCCCATGACATCTATGTCGGTTTTGCTGTATCTAGTCAGGAAATAGGTTTTCTCTGTTAAAACAAACCAATTTCGACCACCCTGTACATTCAAGGTTTGCAGTTTTGTTGAAAATAATTTATGTTTATTACTTTAGCTTCACATTTCAGTTGTTTGTACTTTTAATAATACGGCAAAATCATAAAATATATATGTTTTTAATTTCTATGGGCTGCTTAGCCAAGTTATATTTCTGTTGTCAAAAATTCCTAAAAAATGCATTTTACTTTATTTTTGTGTCCGTTCTTATTTGTTGAAAATTAATGAAATTGTTTGTTGAAAAGTTTGAATATACTGTAAACATTGTTAAAATAACAAGCTTTTTATAAAATCTCTTTTTCATGAATTTTTAACTGAAAAAAAATTGGGGTCCGTCCCAGCACGCCATAAGCGTTACAAAAATTCACCACGCCAGTTGAGTGTTCATTTTTAGATTAATATTGTGGATATAAATAAAATATTATACAAAAATCTTGGAGAAAAGTTTTCATAACTGTTTCGATATTTAGTTAATCTCGAAACAGTAATGAAACACTTATCTCTATGTAATATATCTAGTATTTTTCTTACGTATTACTTACTTGGTTATGACAAAAATAAAATATAAATATTAATTTCTTCCTGAATCCTGCAAAACTGAAATAAAAAACCGAGACATTAACTAATTTATTATTAAACATTACTTAGGTAATTTCTCAGAAGAAGTGAGGAAACCTACTCAATTCTTATTGCTTTTGATTTTATCTTAATATCTACTACCTCTAGGTCCGCTAGCACTTTTATTTATAAACCTCCAGTTGTTTAAAAGGGGTTTAAAGGCGTATATCTAACAATGGAACTATAACTTTGTGAATTTTTGTTCTCAGTCGATAAAAACGCAACCTGTTTTCCAGATAACGGCCGCCGGCAAAGCCGTCCTGATTACCGGCTGCGATTCCCGTGTGGGCAGCGCCCTCGCCCGCCACCTGGACGAACAAGGCTTCACGGTATACGCCGGCTTCCAGGAAGCTGAAGACAACGCCCTCGCCGAAGAACTGAAGGAAATCTGTTCGGCGCGCCTGCACATCCTGCAGCTAGATGTCACCAACGAGACGCAGATATTGGCCGCGTCGCTGAGCATCGTGGAGAGTCTGCCAGATGGCGCCTCTGGATTGTGGGCAGTGGTGCACGCCGCATCTTGGGTCGCTTTGGGGGAAATTGAGTGGATACCGCCACAGGTATATTGGATGATATTCTCAGTTTTCCAGCAAAAGCACTTTAATTTTTTTTCTTTTTTTTTTTTCATTTTTGGCTTATTTTTATTTGACTAGATTTCGTCCAGGATATAAAGCTATACAGGGTGGTTCGAATTGTAATCGGGAAACTTTAGCAGCATATTTTGCAGATAAAAATAAGTAAAAAAAGTCGTTTAAATTTATGACCTAAATGCTTAATTTCGGCGATACAAGGTGTAGAAATTTCATTTTTATTTTGTTTTTTTTTTAAATAACTTCAGAACTTCTGTAGATATTTGGATGGAAATTAGCATCTGGGTGTTTTTTGACATAAGAAATTTGATTTGGATATCAATATGACCCCTAGTTGTAGAGGGCGCCACCTATACATTTTTTAACTGTTTTGAAGAGTAATAACTTTTTGTCCGTACCTGTATTAAACTGCTGAGTAAAAAAATATACATTTATGCTATTCTTTTACGTGAAAAAGGTCTCCTAATAGGCGCTACAAGTAATGGTTCAAAGGACATTTGGAAACGAAATAATCAATACATGGTATTATTGACAAACATGAAACATATTTACTAGAGAGTTATTGGACTGAAAAAATAAATCTGGATTTTTTTATGCCAAAGGTTCAACAGAAACTGTTTGATGATAATTTTTTTCAAGTAAAATTTATGGTTATTTCAAAAAGAAACAAAGAGTTCCCAAATTTTTCATTTCAGTCCAATAACTATGTAGTCAACATGTTTATTTTTTGTTAGTGATGACATGTATTGATAACTTCCATTACAAATATCTTGAGAACTATTGCTCGTAGCGAGTTTTGCCATTTTCTACTTAAAAATGGCGACAATATACAGGGTAGTCCGAACTGTATTCCGGAAAGTTCGGCAACATATTCTGCAGATAAAAATAAGTAAAAAAGTTCGTATAAATGTATGTCCTAAAATGATTAGTTTCAGAGATACAGGGTGTGGAAGTTTCATTTTTATTTCGATTTTTTCCAAATAATTTCTGATGTAACGTCAATATTTGGATGAAAATTGGTGTCTGGAGTTTTTTGACATGAGAAATTTGATTTTGATCATCTACATATTTTTTAACTGGTTTGATGAGTAATAACTTTTCATCTGTACCTGTATAGAACTACTGAGTAAAAAAATATACATTTACGATTTTTTTTACGTAAAAAAGGTCTCTTGGTAAAAACCGCTAAGAGTAATGGTTTTCGAGATATTTAGAATAGAAATTATCAATACCTGTCATCATTGACATAAATTAAACATGTTGACTAAATAGTTATTAGACCCAAATCATAAATTTGAAATGTTTTTGTGCCAAACGTTCAACAGAAACTGTTTTATCATCATTTTTGCAGAAAAAATTATGATTAATTTAAAAAAATAAGAATTTCCCAAATTTATTATTTCAGTGAAATAACTATCTACTCAACGTGTTTATTTTTCGTCAATAATGACATGTATTTACTATTTCCATTCTAAATATCTTAAGAACGGTTGCTCGTAGCGATTTTTACAAAGAGATATTTTTTTACGTAAAAAATCACAGAGATGTATATTTTTTCACTCGGTAGTTTTATACAGGCACGGACAAAAAGGTATTACGCTTCAAAACAGTTAAAACACACGTAGGTGGCCCCTCTACTAGTAGGAGTCATATTGACATCAAAATCAAATTTCTCATGTCAATAAACTGCTAAACACCAATTTTCATCCAAATATTGACATTATTTCAGAAATTATTTAAATCCTGTATCTCTGAAACTAAGCATTTTAGGACATACATTTATACGAATTTTTTTACTTATTGTTATCTGCAGAATATGCTGCCAAAGTTTCGGAAATACAGTTCGGACCACCCTGTATATTTTTTCACTCATTAATTTAATACAGGTACGTTCATAAGCGTTTCGGTCGTCGAAGTGGGAGTCATTTTGATCATTACCCACACACCAATTTTCATCCAAATATCGGAATTAGTTCAGAAATTATTTTGAAAAAATCGAAATAAAAATGACACTTTTATACCCTGTATCTCGTAAACAAAACGTTTTAGGTCATATATTTATACTAACTCTTTTATTTATTTTTATCTGTAGAATATAGTGCCAAAGTTTTTCGAATACAATTTGAAGTACCCTGTAGAGCTAGTATATTTATTGTGGAAAAATCCACTAATGCACATTTGATTGCCTAGGAATTTATCTACTTACCTAACTTTTGTATTTCATTTTAATCTTACAGAAAACGAACTTAGCTTTTCGAGTAACCAGCAAAACTGTAAACAGTTCTAACAGTTCTAAAAACAACTTTCTTGATCATTAACAACTTTAAATAAATTTATATTGCATAAAAATGATCTTTCATAAAAAGTTTGTAGAAAAAAGTTATACATTTTTTTATTGATTCATGATTGGTTTTAGGTGATCAAAAAAGCTACCGAAATCAACTTCTTGGGACCCACAAGAGTGACACAAATTATGTTGCCCTTAGTGCGCAGAGCTAGAGGAAGGATAGTGTACTTAACATCAGGTCTTTGCAGAGTTGCGTCGCCAGTTAGAGGAATCCATTGTGGACTTTTAGCAGCCATTGAGTCACAAGCTGAATGTCTAAGACAAGAATTGAGGTAAAGAATCTTGAAACTCAATATCAAAAATATAGTTTAATCTATTGTGTTGAATTGAGATACAAAATATCACGGTAATTTTTTGAATTAGGCGAACCGTAATCAAAACCTCGACAAGAAAAAATCGTTTATTTTTAGGGTTCCGTACCTAAAGGGTAAAAACGGGAATCCTATTACTAAGACTTCGCTGTCCGTCCGTCCGTCCGCGTCCGTCTGTCAAAAGGGTCTATAAGAACAAATACTAAAAATAGAATTAAATAAATGTTTATAAATAAAAAAGTACTTTCACCACAGATTATACAGATTATAATCTTTGTTTTTTCTTTATTGTTCGAGCCTGACCGGCACATTTATTACAGAGATATCGGAAAACCGAATAGCGTCATCCAGTATTTACGCGTACCTTATCATGGTTACGATATGCGCGAGTCAACGCAACACCCGCTAATAACGTTACCGCCTGACGTAATTTGCGGATCAATTACACCAAGCGCTCTTTCTAAATAACCTCTGATAACGTTTAAAAATTGCTTAAATGGGCATGTGCGGGTATTTGACAACCGGAGCCGGCCGGCGAGATCTTTTATTTTAGGTTATGTTTGAATTGTTTTGAATTATTGCTTTAGTTTTATTAGGTAATTTGATATTTAAGTAGCTGGGATTAGTTTTAATTAAATAAATATGGCCCAAAATATGGATTCCACCTCTTCCAATACTAATGAACCTATAAAGAGTCTTAGATTTACAGCAGATGACGACTTAGCCCTTCTAAGAGAATTTGTTGCTTGTTGTCCTAAACCCATTGGCAGACGTTGAACAATAAAGCACTGGAAATAAGCACTTTAGCCCTTTAGTTTTAAAATACCTAGTAAACAAAACAATTTCAAAGTTTTAAATTGAAAGTTAGGTTAAGTTTAAATAGCGGACGCGACGCGATCAGAATTCTTTCCGATCCGATAACTATAAATGAAGAGAGTTAATACCACCTCACGTAAAGGAAATAACACCTGGCCGTATTAACGTCCATGCACGCTATTCGGTTTAGCGATATCTCTCTATTACGCTGTTTATTGTTATTTTACGCGAGTTTCTTTTTGCGCACAGGAAATTTGACTCGTTTGCACATCGTCATAAAAAACAATTTTCGTACCACGAATGAGGGACAAGATTTTTATCTGTATACTTGTAGGATACCTAATCTGTGCTTTCACTAAACATTATCTTTTAAGTAAGAATTTTACAGAGAATCTTTCAAGTCCTCGGTGGCCGCGTGGTTAAAGCTGTAGGACTTTACCCTGCTATGACGCGGAGCCGTAGTAAGGCAGGTTCGAATCCTAGTCAAGGCGACTTTTTATAATCGTTTTTTTTAATTTTTACATATTTATTTTTACTTTTTACATATTTATTATTGATTAATACAATTTTTAGTAATGTGTTTCTTTATTTTTTTTTTAAATTACTTATACGCGCATTCAAAATTTCAGCAAAATCGGAAAAAAAGTTTATAATAATATAGTGTCTAATGTTGTATAGATAATAAATGGTACGGAACCCTTCGTGCGCTAGTCCGACTCGCACTTGACCATTTTTTTTTAATAATTAAGGTATTAATTAATCCTCAGTTTTATCCTAAATTGAAAAAAATCTATTAAATTTATTATTTATTGCCAATTTGACTGCAAATTATTCAACAAATATTATATATCTTGTCGTTGTTTTTAATATTTAAATTTTTAATAACAATTTTATAACGTGGCTGAAATTTACCGAGCTAATTAGTTTTATCCATTAAACTTTTAATTAATTTAGTGAGCGCGTATAGTCGACAACCGGTGACGCTGTTTAAATATTCCGCGAAGCGTTTAAAAATAAATCAATAATTATTCATAAAAGGCAAACGTATAGTTATTTAGTTAAAAATATCAAAAACATATTTATATTCTTAAAATATACACAATTTAGAAAATTACACAATATCTAGCTTGTAATACACAATATTTAATAATTATTTTTATTAAATTTTTATTCAAAACCTCGCAATTAGTGGAGTGAATTAGCGGTTTCAATTAACGTAGAAGTTTGTTCCTCTAATTTGAATGTAAGCATTCAGAACGCTAAAATTAGTGGTAGAAATTTTCAATTAGTGGAAAAAGTTAACAAACTTTAGCTTGATTCAGAACCTCGAAATCAGTGGAATAAATTAGTAGTTTCAATTAGCCTTAGTAGTTTTTTTCACCTAATTTTAATGTAAGTATACATTGCAGGGGCGTTTGACAATATACCTCACAAGGTGGTCAAGCGATCTCTTGAAACGAGAGGGGTGAACAGTATGATAATTTTTGCTGGTTTTGGGAAATGCTCTCAACACGAACAGCAGAGGCTGAGATAGGTACCAAAACTGTAGTTGTTAAAACAACGCAAGGAACTCCACAAGGTGGAGTGACCTCCCCCCTACTGTGGAGCTTGGTAGTGGATGAACTACTGGAAGAATTAACTCTAGCGGGAATACACTGCATAGGGTACGCAGATGACATAGTCATCATTGCACGGGGGAAACATGAAGGCACCCTGTGTGATATTATCCAAAGAGGATTCCGCATCGCTGAGAGATGGTGCAGGACTGTCGGGCTGAGTATTAACTCAGATAAAACCGCAGTAGTGCCATTCACCAGAAAGCGAAGTTTGAAAAACTTGAAAAGAATCCATCTAGATGGAAAGGAAATACTGCCATCACAGGAAGTGAAATATCTGGGAATAACCCTGGATAGTAAACTTCTCTGGAACAGGCATATTAAGAACATTACCAGCAAAGCCACAAAGGCTCTCATGATATGCAGAAGACTGGCGGGAAATAGGTGGGGCTGCGCCCCTAACATTTTGCGCTGGATGTATACCATGATAGTAAGACCCATGATTACTTATGGAGCAGTTGCTTGGTATACAAAACTAGAGCAACGTACAGCAAGGCAAACCCTGTGCAAAGTACAGAGACTGGCATGTATCTGCATCACAGGTGCCATGAGAACATGTCCAACAGCAGCAATGGAGGTCATTCTAGACCTAACACCACTGCATATTGTCGTCGGTAGTTATGCCAATGCGACAATGATTAGAATGGTCATTGACGGAAACAGTACTGGGAGAATTTTCAGGTCAGGGGCTTGGAACACCCTCAAAAAGAAAATTCCACTTCTCCAACTCCCAGTGGATGACATACCAAGAATTTACAACTTTGAGAAACACCTCACTGTAGTATTGAGTAATAAAAAGGATTGGAAGAAAGAAACGCTTACTCAGCATATAAAAGACCATACCATCACGTGGTATACTGATGCTTCCAAAACCAAAGCAGGGACAGGGATAGGAGTATTTGGGCCGAAAACTGAATACTCCGAACCAATGGGCACCTACCCCAGTATCCTTCAGGCAGAAATTTGCGCTATCGAAAGATGCGTACAATTTATCTTAGATAGGAACTATCGAAAACAGGAAATTGCCATCCTATCCGATAGTCAAGCAGCACTTAACGCGATCAACTCAGTAACCATCAATTCGAAGTTGGTCAAAGAATGTTTCCTGTTTTCCAAACGGGAACCAACTGAAAGCGGAACTGAAGAATCTGGAAGACTCCATCCGTAACTTGGAATGAGTGTCCTCCAACGGTCTAAGACACTCGAAAAAGTTCCTTAGAACTTATGACCGAGAAAAATCAAAGGTTTTCCTTGATTTAAGTAAAAACAATCTTCGGATTGTCACGGGGTTTCTAACAGGACACTGTCTCCTCAACGAACACCTCAGTAGGCTGAAACTGAGAAACAACGGCGAATGCAGATTTTGTGGGGAAAATGGGGAAACACCAGAACACCTTATCACTGAGTGCTCCGAGACGACGAACATTCGTGCCATGAATCTTGGTACGTCTGATGTCGAGGATGGAGAGCTGGCCTCTGTGGAGCCGTCTCAGATACTGGCTTTTCTTAAAGCCCTGAGACTGTATGATGAGTTATAACTCGTTATAACTCAAGAAAGGGGAACACACAATAGATCTATAAGGTCGCGGTGATTAACTCCCCTCCTAAACATTCTACATTCTAATGTAAGTATTCAAAACGTCATAATTAGTGGTAGTAATTTTCAAATATTGGATAAAGTTAACAAACTTTTGACTTTTCTACTAATTATACTATCATTATACTTCAAAATTTGCGAGGATTTTCATTTGGGCCTTTGATTATCACCCGTCAAAAAAAATTTTGGTTAGAAATCAAAAGTTTATTGTTTTATAAGCTAAATATTAGGACTTCTCTATGGATACAACAAACTATCGCAAGCTGTTGCTAGGATATTTTATTAATTTTAATTGTGTTTTTTAGACATTGTGAATGATCTTAAACTAAAAAGTAAAAAGTGTAATTGAAACCACTAATTTATTCCACTAATTGGGAGGTTCTGAATGAAGCTTTTCACTTTTTCCACTAATTATACTTCAAAATTCGCGAGGAATGCCATTTTGGCCTTTGATATCATCTGTCAAGAGAAAAATGTGGTTAGAAAACAAAAGTTTATTGTTATAAGCCAAATATTATTCTTTCTCTTGATACAACTGATTACAGCAAGCTGTTGCTAGGATATTCTTGTAATTTTAAATGTGTTTTTTAGACATTGTGAATGATCGTAAACTAAAAAGTATAATGTGTAATTGAAACCACTAATTTATTCCACTAATTGCGAGGTTCTGAATGAAGCTTAAAATATTATCATAACAGGTGAATATACGATACACAGATTTTTATAATCTTGTTAAATTATTTTAAGATATTATAATATCTATTTATACAAAGTAATTTTAAAATTACTTATGGTATACTCCAACCGAGACTCCAACATAAACTTTATAGAAATAATATGTGTAATTTATCTTTATTCAAACATAAAATATACATAACTGAATTTCATTCGTATCATGACGTCATAGGGAGTTAAGCAGCAGCTGGTAATTA